CATTGAGACCAATGAGAAATTTATAAACAGAATCTTTCTGTAAAAGCTCTTGAAAGAGTTCATTGAGATTGCAAGTACAATTACCACATTTACAGACAGGAATAGTTCTATAATTGCAGTATTCATCCCAAATAGTTTTGAAGAAGTTATAGAAAGCAGTGATAGATTGGGAACCTTGAGACATATTAGTCATAGATTTTTCAAGTTGAAAAACATGAGGTCCGTCACTCTTTCCATAACGAAGCTTAACTTCTTCCCAAATATCTTTAGCCACAGTAAAATAAAGGAAGGTAGTTCGAATTTCAGGAGCAATAGAGTAAACAAGCCAAGATAAGAGGAGCGCGTTTACCCGATACCAAGCAGGATAGATTGGATTATCAGAAGCAGGTTGAGATATGGATCCATCAAGAAACTTCATCTTGTTTTTGACGGTGAAGGCCATAACCACGGACTTCTGCCAAGCATTGTAATTGTTGCCGTTGAATGTTTCGTAGATGATTCGAATACCTGAATGGTCAGCTGGATGAAGATAGTACGGCGACGAAGGATCTTCCGTAGGATTAGGGTTTTCGGTTGACATCGTAGGAGAAGAAGCAATCGATCGAGATACAGATGAGCAGCGGAAGAGATGATCGAATCTGAAGCTAAACTGATACCATGTAAACTTTTGTGGAAATCAAGTAATTGGACTGTAAGGAATCAGAGAAAACGAAAGCTCTCTTCAGGGAAGAAGAAGATGAATCGGGAAAAATGAAAAATTAGGTCTTAGGCCATTTTACAGTTTATTTATATCTAATACTAAAAATAGAATAGGATAATAAAAAACTAACATTTGCAGTTTAGTCCTTCAGCTCTTGGTCTTCATTAATTTGACCTCCTTGATAGTTTGTGAAATACTCTTAACTAATTGATCATTTCTGAATCACTCATCCTCTTAAAGTATCCATAATTCCTCTTACCTTAAGTAATTCATAGTTCATTACTGTTTCCTCTATTTGGTTAAGATTTTATTTCTATAGGCCTCATCCACGGTTGAAACAGCACAAAAGGACACATTCAAAGTGGCAGTGTAATTATTAAATTAAACTACTTCTGAATTTTACATTCATATGTTGCATTGATAAATGATAACATACTGATGATCTGTGATGTTTGTTTGTTTTTTAAATATACAACAACATTTATCACACCTATTATTACTTCATCCAAAAAGTCACCAAGTGCGATGCCTTGTAAGGATCCCCTATCTGATAATGGATCACCAAGCAGCTATCATCCACAAAAAATAAAAGTTGTAAAATAGGAACAAAGCAATAACTGACTTTCTCTTTGTGATTCGCCTAATTCTAATTGTTCAATTACATTATGAACTTTGTATAGCAGATTCTGTACTTGCTGTTCTTATTGTCATCCTTAGAGGTTGTTTGGATCTACTGCTTGAAAAATGCTTCAGCTTCTTTAAGGAGTAGAAGTTGTGGATAAAATTGCAGAAGTACTTATGGTGCTCCAAATTGCTCTTAGAAGAAGTTTTTTAGAAGTTAGGGGAGACTAGCTTCTGAAAAATTAATTCTGATTCTGCTTCGCTTTAAGAAATGAAGTAGAAGCAGAATCAATCTCAAACACCCCTTAATTACTAATGTTAGATGCATTATACTCTTCCACATACAAAAGATAATATATTCTATTGAGATTGCGTTATATATTTCATAACAAAAGAGCTTCTAAATACTCCCAGTTTAACAGTTATGGGTGAAACGATACTACTAGATTATTAATGTAGCCATCTGTTAGAAGTAGTAGTATTAGTAGTATTGGTGGTGGTGGTGGTGGTGGTGGTGGTGGTGGTGCAGCAGGAGGAGGAGGAGGAGCAGGAGCAGGAGTAGGAGCAGGAGGAGGAGGAGGAGGAGGAGCAGTAGGAGGAGGAGGAGCAGCAGCAGCAGGAGCAGCAGGAGCAGCAGCAGGAGCAGGAGCAGCAGCAGGAGCAGCAGCAGCAGGAGCAGCAGCAGCAGCAGAAGGAGCAGCAGGAGCAGGAGCAGCAGGAGCAGCAGCAGCAGCAGGAGCAGCAGGAGCAGGAGCAGCAGGAGCAGAAGCCGCGGCAGGAGCAGCAGCAAGAGCAGCATGAACAGGAGCAGCAGCAGGAGCAAGAGCAGGAGCAGCAGGAGCAGCAGCAGGAGCAGCAGCAGGAGCAGCACCAGCAGCAGGAGCAGCAGTCGGAGGAGGAGGAGGAGGAGCTGCAGCAGGAGCAGTAGAAGCAGCAGGAGCAGGAGCAGCAAGAGCAGGAGCAGCAGGAGGAGCAGCAGGAGCAGGAGCAGGAGCCGCAGTAGGAGCAGGAGCAGGAGCAGCAGGAGCAGGAGCAGGAGTAGCAGGAGCAGCAGCAGGAGCAGGAGCAGGAACAGCAGGAGCAGCGGGAGAAGCAGCAGTAGCAGCAGCAGGAGCAGCAGCTGCAGCAGGAGCAGCAGCAGCAGCATCCGCAACAGGAGCAGCAGGAGCAGGAGCAGCAGCAGCAGGAGCAGCAGCAGGAGCAGCAGCAAGAGCAACAGGAGCAGCAGGAGCAGGAGCAGGAGCAGCAGCAACAACAACAACAACAGCAGGAGCAGGAGCAGGAGCAGGAGCAGGAACAGCAGGAGCAGCAGCAAGCGGTGGCGGTGGCGGCGGCGGCGGTGGCGGTGGCGGTTGCGATGGAGGTGGCGGTGGCGGTGGCGGTGGCAATGGCGGCGGCGGTGGTGGTGGTGGTGGTGGTGGTAGTGGTAGTGGTAGTGGTAGTAGTAAGGACACAAAGGATCCCCTTGTTTAACTCCTCTAGAAGGTAAGAAAAACTCCTAGGAACACCATTTATTATACAGAAATTACTCCAAATTCGAGTAAACCTATGGTAAAAATCCAAAATATGACTTGTAATGTTTTTATTCCAAAATAGGATTATATTATTCCTATTGAAAACATACCTATTTTTCATTCCATTCTTACCGTACCCCTCCTTTAATACGAGTAAAAGGTAGTCAAAAGTCATAATTAAATGTTTAATTCATAATAAAATCGAAAAAAATTAAAACAATCGTACAAAAAAATTAATAAAATATTTCTAAAAAAAATATTTTAAAAAAAATTTATAAAAAATAGTAAAACTGCATAAAACAATTTAAAAAATATGGATGTCTTTCCCACCGCCTGTACTGCCTCCCTACACCACCACCTCCGACCAGTGTAAAAAAATGCCATTTTTTCTGAAAATCCCAAAAAAATGGCATATAACTCTTTGAGAATTCCAAAATTTTCATTGAATCTGCCATAAATATGGCATTCCTAATGCATGTGGAATTTCTTTTGCCCGTGATCGGAGATGGTGGTGCCGGGGCGGCAGAGGCAGAGGTGATTGTTTTTAGCGTATTTTAGTTATTTTAAAAAAAATAATTTTTTTAATTTTTTTAGTTTTTTAAATTAGATGCCTTTCCTACCGCTTGTACTGCCTCCCTGCACCACCACCTCCGACCAGTGTAAAAAATGTCATTTTTTCTATAAACTGCCAATTTTTCTGAAAATGCCAAAAATGGCATACTCCCTCCGTCCCGGTCATTTCTTCCAATTTTCCTTTTTGGGCCGTCCCAATTAATTCTTCCAACTTCCACTTTTGGAAAAAATATGTGGTTCACACTCATTCACCTTTTTCTTACACAACTACAATCATACATTTTCACTTTATTCCCACTACATAAATTTGCGATACCGGTCAAAATTGGAAGAAATGACCGGGACGGAGGGAGTATTACTCTTTGAGAATGCCAAAATTTTCATTGAATCTGCCATAAATATGGCATTCGTAATGGATGTGGCATTTTTTCCATGATGAATGGAGGTGGCGGTGTTGGGGCAGTAGAGGCGGCGGTGATTTTTTTGTGTTTTTTAAATTTTTAATTTTCTTTTTTTAAAAAAATGTTTATTTAAATATTTTTTAATTTTTTTAGTATTTTTTACGAATTTTTATTATTTTTTATTATTTTATTATGAATTAAAACTTTTAAATAACAACAAGGGTATATTTGTCCAACACACACATAATTAGTCATATCAAAATATAGTTTACTTTTTTGTCCTATTTGTCAGCTTTTAGTTATATTTTGACAATTAACCCTTTATTAAAACAGAGAAGCGAGTAGCCATAAGGTGGTTCATAATCAAAGCAGTCAAGGTGTTGGTGAAACCACACTGAGTGAGAATAGCCTTTAAGAATGACCAAGAGAGTGCCAAATGTCTTAGGGTGTGTTTGGGAGTTGGGTTTTGGAGGGGAGAGGAAGGTTGATAGGGGTTTATAACCCTCCTTTTCATGTTTGGGAGTTTATAAAATTGGAGGGGGTGATTTTGGAGGACTTTCGTGACCCTCCAAAACCCTCTAAATGCTGAATTTTGAAGTTCCCCCAATTTGGAGGGTTTTGAAGGATAATTAATGAAATGGTAATTTAAGCTCAATTAAAAATAAATTTCAGTTCAATTATTAAAATTAGTCATATCTCAAAGTGATTTTAATTATAATTCATTCAAAAATTCTCTTCTTCCAAATTTATTACTCCCAAATATAAAGAAAGGCATCCTCATCCTCCCCTCCCTTTCTCCTCCAACAACATACCTCCAAAGCTTCCTCATCCTCCCTTCTCTCCGAACTCCCAAACATACGCTTAGCCATGTCAGGAATCATTCATCACTAAGTTTGAACCCCAGACTCTTTTATCAATGGAATTTATCATTTCTTGTGCCACTAAGCTTGAGAAGAATTGAACCGAGTCTTTCTGCTATAATTTTTGTACAAACCTTACTAATAAAGTTTGATAGACTTATAGGTCTAAAATCAGAGAAAACTGATGGTTTATCCTTTTTAGGGACCAACACAATTAAAGAAAAGCCCATAGATAGCCATAGGAATATGATTTCCCTGGAAAAAGTTCTGGACTGCCCTTGAAGCATCTCAACCAACAATATCCCAACACTTTCTAAAAAACATCATTATAATTTTTTTTGGGATGAACGGTAATTGTATTAAACACCCAAAAATAACATTATACAATGTGTCACACAAGATCAAAAGAAAGGCTATCTAAGTTAGAAAAAGAAATCTAACCTAAATATAATGCATCACCCTGAAACAGAGTTATCACCACACCACATCCTCCAAGAAAAAGAAAAACAAACAGAAGAGTTATCATCACATCACATCCTCCTTAAATAAAAACAAACAGACTGTTAGCCCAAACCCTTTTGAGCAGGTTCTTTGTCTCTAGCTTCCTCCATTTTCATCCTCGGTTCCATAATTTTTTTCTTACATTCTTCAAAGATTTTACAATCATCGGCACTCAGGCCTATTCTTCTAGAGTCTGATTCCTCATTTTCCGAGTCTTTCGGTGAGGAGGTGTTCATGTTCAGTGAGGATATTTGCCCCATCTCCTGCGATGCACAGTCCTGCATTGTATCCGACTCGCTTCCATCCTCCTCCTCCTCGGCCTCGACGTCATCAGCCCTTACTTCTTTCTCCAAGGTACTTTGTTGGATCTCAACCTTCTTCACTTGTAACTTCTCCTTGTCCTTTAATTCCGCCCCCATGCCCTCAATCCACGTCTTCTCCTCCTTTTCTTCTCTAGCCTTTTCCCGTTCTTGTGTTGCCAATTTCTTGCAAATAAATGGGTGATGCCCATATTCTTTGCAATGGAAACAGAAGTTGGGGAAAGTCTCATAAACCACAGATTGATTGACTACCTTACGGGACGGTAGCCGGATAGGAAATGACAGCGGCGGTGGTTTGGATACATTAACCTCAATCAATACCCTAGCATAGAAATTATTGCTCCTATCCTGAGTAACTTTATCCGTAGATAATGGAACCCCAACCATGGAAGCAACCTCACTCATCGCATCCTCATTCCAAAGTTTCATATGTAAATTCATCATCCTCAAACGAAAAATCTTCGGAGAGTGCTTTTAGCATGAGTTGTATGCCAAAAATGGTATAAGGCCCCCCTTTCAACACTTTTTCTCTATCTTCTTCATTATGAAATTTAAAGATAACCCACCCCCTTTGATGGGTTTTGACAATGCAACTAACCCCCATGTGTTCTTCAAGTCATAGATAGCCTTAAGCCCGGGGTGTTTCTCGGTAAACAGTCCAAAAAAAACATATGAAACTGTAGCAACAAGGTGTTATCAGATTCATCAACTAACCTGGGAATGAATTGCAGGAGCTAGCTCCTTCACATCTTGTACAGTCTCTTCAGCAAAGATTTTGCCAAAATAGTCTTCAGCCACTTTCCCAATTGCCTCAGGATTAGTGTGCACTTGACCAGAAGAGTCTTTAATAGAAAATAAGTACTGCTTTTTCCTCCTAATATTAACAAATTCATGAAAAAATTGAGTATTGGCATCCCTTTTCCTTCAACCATTTGATACGAGATTTCTGTTTCCAGAAAGATTTCTCCTGATTATATTTAGTCAAAAGCAAGACCTGTTTAGTAGACCACTCCTCCTTGTTTTCCATAGTTTACTTCTTTCAATATAGCTATGATCAACATAGATTGAAGTAAACGAAAAGGAATAGGAATCAGTAGCAACCCTCACATGGATATATTGCTTATCAAAAGAATTAATCGTAACATCAACAGATCTAGTCTCCCAAAAATTCCAGATCTTATTATATGGGAAAGAAATTTTTTTGTCTAAACCAAGTTCCAGAGAGAAATAGGCAATTTTAGAAGCATCTACAATAAGCTTCATGATAGCAATAATTTTAATATTCAAATGTCTAATGACATCTCGTAACCTTGGACAGGAACAAACAACGCCACGAACATTCCGAACATTCCATATGAGACAATTCATTGTGAACAGTTGGAGAAAGTTTGAGAGAGCTTCTTTGCAGCAGCCCTAGTAAATTGCAGAGTATCAGGTACAATTTGTAAAGGTTGTCTTTTCTTTTTTCTTGCAACCTTAATGGAACCTTCGTCATCTATAATATTATTACTTCCTGGAATCTCCTCTACCTTACCTGATTGTCTGTGTTTAGATTTATTGATGATTGTTGCCACTTTCTTGGATAAGGCAGATTGATCTGCTTTCCATTTTTGGATATCATCCGGGAAACAGAAAGCACCATCTGAACAATAGCTCTTTGCTGAGAGTGATGGATCATAGCCTCATAGGTACTTCTTTGAATGATCTTCAAAAGGTTTTAATCATCAACTGCTCTTCCATGTATAGGTTTTTGAATTGAGTATGAATCAATCACAATCTCTTGATTAAAGGTTCCTTAAATCTCCTGTGCAGGTTTAACATGAGTAGGCGGGCTCCTCCATGATAATTTCTTCCACCTCAGAATCCTCCGGTTCACCAAGGGGGGAGGGGGGATACCATAGCTAGTTGGGTTTCAGAAGTAGAGGGAATGCACGTGACATCAACCTTTGCACGCGGGTATGTTTGGCACGATTAGTTGAAAAGATACTTTTGTGAGCTTTTTAGTAACCGTTAACTTTTAGTGACCGAAAAGATCTTAAAAAAAAGGTGGCAGCTGTTAGGTAAAAAGTCGAGTGTTTGATATAGTTTTGTTTGGTATACAAGCTGTTAGGACAAATTAATATTAAAAGTTACGGTCTTTTCTCAGATGCTACTCCCTGTAACATCTCAAAAAAGATCTTTTATTTTCTGAAAAGCTCTTAAAAAATTTCATGTCAAACATACAACTAAAAGCTTTTAGATACTTTTTAAATAGTACGAAAGCTAGAAGGTAGAGACTTATGTTTGCCAAACATGCACTTAGGCTATGTTTGGCAAGCCACATAAGCTCAAAAAGGGCTGAAATGTTTGAAATCCAGTCAATTTTTATACAAATAATGTTGTTTGGATAAAAGGCTGAAATGAGCTTGAGCTGAAAAAACTCAACTAAACTCAAACGCTTAGAGGAGCAACGTTTCCATTCAGTCAGGCCCTTCTTTCCCGTATTAGCCCCAACCTCGTTACAATTCCATCTTTGCTGCAAGTGTGCGACTACAAAAACAAAGGAGAAACTTCAAATCTAGACCAACGAGAGGGATCAAGAGACGATGTCGCAGTGGCGCCGGTGGCCGGTGCTGCACCGGTAACGGAGAAGACACAGGTCTCTGATGCATGAAGGGATCTATCCTAATTCCCAAAAAAATACATAGTTGGCCGAGAAGATGATTAAAAATGGCGTCTACACAACTTGCCAGCCTGTCAGGGCCAACGAAGAAAGAAAAAATCAAAGAATCAGGAGCAAAAAAAAAATTACGTTCCTATTCAACTTGTTTTTATTTGAGCTTGAATATGCGCACGGCAGAAATCAACTTGATTTTAGTGGTGTAGAAAAAATTATATACAGTAGTAAATACAAGCATATATTTGTGTGTATGTATATGTTAACTGTTTTTGGTTTATAAAAATTATAAAAATACTTACATACTCTGTAGTATAACATCTTAACTGTTTTTGGTTTATAAATATTATACCCGTAATAAGTATTTTATTTTTGATAAATTATACTCGGTATGTCCTTTAATGTAATTTTATATTTTTCCGTCATTTTTTAGCCTTTCTTCCAAACGAGTCTACCTCATTTCGCTAGCAATTCAGATTCGGCTTTTCAAAGTTCAGCTCAAGACAATAGGCTATGGTTCAGACAATAGTCTTTAATTCAGACATTAGTCTCCAACTCCAGCTTGTTGTGCCAAACAGTGCCTTAGAATATGTAGCTTTTGGTTTGATGACCCACTTTTCAGGATGCCCTTCTCTTGCCTCAGAAATCTTCATCTTTGATCCAAAAAAGGTGGAATCTCCCACCCCAAGAGCCCCCACCCCGACTCGATAGAATGGTGGGGAGGTTAGTCACGGCGACTCAGTCACCAGAATGACAGTAGGCCCATACACCCGTACACGGCGGCTCAGCCTTATTTCAGGTTCTGTGACCTCCACCCGGTCGCTGCGGGGATTCGAACCTTGGTCCATTGATCCAAATCTCCCACCACTCAACCAACAAAGCTACCTGTGCGGGTTCGGAAATTTTCACCTTTTTAGGGCAAGAGGCCACATAATGGTTTAAGTGAAGGCAGTCGTGTGTGTAATCTCATATCGACAGTCGAATAATCTAAAATAATGTGGAGAAATCGAGCAGAATAAAAATAATTCATCAACAACAAATAATGTATATTCATCAACAATCAATAACGTATATATGAATGGACGGTTGAGAGAGAAAAACTAGAGGTGCTCTACGAGAATGATAATTGCGCAATTAATCGTGTAGAGTCTTAGGTTGTTCGACCCCTTTGCCTGTATTTATGGGTGTGTGGGATTTATCAGCTAAAAAGCTTGTTTCTCTCTCAACTAAAAGCCTGTTAATACTAAGACTAATTAATCAAAGATAATTACAATTAATTTGAACACAATAAATAATGTTCTAACAATCTCCCCCTTTGTGTTCAAATCGCGATGAAGAGCGGATTATCTCTGAGTCTTGTATAGTGATTTTCTGTGGCCTAGAATGACTTCATATTCTCTGATATTTCTTCTAAATTCAAGTCGTAGACTAATGGCAGTAGCAAAATCACCAATGACAGCAATTTGAACTGGGTCTTCTGAATCTTCAACTGACTTCTTAAGTTTGATTGCACATTCTTCTAGAAAATCTTCAATGATGTGTAGCGTTTGATCAAAATATTTATTAACTTCTTCCATCAGTAGGATACGCTTTACATCGTTGTAATCTTTGTAGATCATCCAAGGTTCAGGATCATCAATGATTTTGCCTTCTTCAAAATTTTCAATCCAGGGAGTAGTATTTCTCGGAGCAGTGAGATTGACTTTGCTTAAGTTGATCTCAATAGTCATCTGCAGATCAAACAATGGATAATACTTGATTTGTCTCAGCATGTACCTCTTGATGGCATTGACACCTAGATCTCTGTCTTATTTGAGAAGTCTCTAATTCTTACATTTTTGTATTCAAAGAGTAGCTGGATCAAGTCTTTTGGAACAACATATGGAAAATCAGGTTTAGAAAGTCTTTGAATCACTACGTTCTGCCTTTCAAAAGTTATGATCGGATACTTCGTCAATCCGCATGAATGGATTTCTACTGATTTGATTCCTATGATCAATGATTCAGAATGTTTCTTCAAATCTTTGTGAAGTTGCTAAGGATTATTCATATTAGCAGACATGTTACGCAGCATCCAGATGTGTCCACTAGCAGCAGTGTCTTCAAGATGTTCTAATCCGCGGAGCTCTAACTCATCTATCTTCTTGATGTTCTTTGCACTTCTCCAAATCCTAGGGCAGCGATTTTTTTTGAAAAGGAACAACGATCTTGAAATTCTCTCAGGATGTCTCAAACTTATCTTCAATCTTGGATTCTTTGGGTCATCTTCAAATGAGATCTTTAACTTTGTGGAAGTCAGGGAATGGATCATCATAAAATTCTCCTTGGATCATTTCTTCAGGTTCAAGCTCCATTAGTTCTTCAGTGGCTTAATTCTTAAGTTATCTAATGTAGTTCAGCTTTGTCAGTGCATCTTCATTGCTTAGTCCTTGTAAATTATCTTTTTCATCTCTTTCAGCCCAATCAACTAACAACAGATCTGCTTTTGATGGCGCTTTGTATTTTTCCGATGGTGATGCTTATGGCACTTTGTCTTTTCTTTTTGATGATGATCGTCGTTTAGATGATGATGGCTTTGAGAATGTAGGAACAGAAGCAGATGAATGAACTGGTGGAACTGTAGTAACTATAGGAACTAGTGGAATAGATATAGGAAGAGTGACGGATAAACTAACATCGCGGTCACAAAGGCTTACCGTTGTCATCATACAAAAGACTGGCTCGTTCTGATGGTCTGAACATGATGCCGATTCATATGTTGCATTTTTAGGACTTCCTTCTAATCATAGGACTACATCCATAGTATATGAGCCTATGGAAGTTCTCATGAGGACACACAGTCCTGGCACTGTAGGTGTAGGTAAGGATAGGGATGGAGAAGGAAATGGGAATGGTTTGTAAATGGTTAAGGTTAAGGATTGAGATGGTGGGGCTTCAGATGATGGTGAAGGTGGAGGTTGATGAGAAAATGAAGGTTCAGAGCTAGTTGGTGGACATTGAACTATGAATAGGAATGATTGCTCACAAGTACGTGGCCTTTCTCCCCTCATGATGATCCGAATCATCGGCGTCATCATGCTTACGCTTAAGTAGGCATTCTTGATCACGACAAGTGGATTGGATATAAGGTGGGGCGAGGGCTAAGATATCGCAGACTTGAATTTTAAGTGTGTACACTTGTACATTCATATTTACTAATTTATTTATATACATAGTTATAGTTTATTATGTTTAAATTTAAGTTCTTAATTCTTAACAACTAGCTCAATCAATATAATATCAATTTTGTACTTAAGAATAATACTATGTGCTTGAATTTTAAATTTTAGTTATAGTTTCTCATTATTATTTTTGTGCAAGTATTTTTTGTGTTTGTTATGAAAGCCTATAAACATTATAAGTGTAACAATTTTTTAAATGTTGTGATATTATTTTAAAAGTATTTTTTAATTATATAAATTTGAGAAAATTTAAAGTTTTCCCGGGCTACGCGGTCCGGTGGACTATCCGATCCGCTCTTACAAGCAGGTATGGACATGTGGTTAGACCTATTTTTGTAGGTCAAGTCGGGCCTGCCCATACATAATGGGCAAAAAATCTAGGCCTATTTACACAAATAGACCAAAAAGCATAAATAATATCACTTTTTTCATTTATGAATGTCCTTTTCAAAAATAGGTTCCGTAAGTTCCTTCTTTCACTAATAGGCTCATGCAATTGAAACACCCAGTGCAAGCTAAAGTCGTATGGTGCAATTATGTACGACTCTATTCCAAAAAGCTAAAAGTGATGTATGATGCTTTTATAAAGCAATCTTAATGCAAACTTATCCTTCGACAAAGTAAATTTTAAATTGCAAAAATGATACATCAGACAACTAAAAGTTTGTTAATTTTTTTAACAAATATAATTTAAAAAATATAAGGGTAATAAAAATATAAAAATTTATAGGAAATAAAAAAAATTGAAAATTATAATGAAAACTAGAAATTACATGCGTAAATTTTTAAATAAAAATTTCAAATATATAAACAGTGAAAACTAGTATAGATTTTTTTCCATTACAATGATGTTCTAAAAAGTAAAAACTATAAAGAATAAAAAAAAACTATACAATATTTACATTGAAAATCTCAAACTAGAAAACTAATTAAAATATCGTCTAAGAAAAATTTAAATAAAATTTTTGAAAATACAGAGTAAGATATAAAAGATGAAAATAAATATAGAATACGTTCAAAAGTCTAAAAACTGTTAGAATAATGATAAAAAAACTAAAAGTTAAAACATGCAAAAAACATTAAAATTATGAAAAAATGGTAGAGAACTTGTTCAGAATTGAAAATAAAACGAAACACAATGGGAAAAATTACAATTGAATATATATTTTAAAAATTTGAATATATGGCAAATAAATAATTCTATGAAATTCACATAACTATGTAAAATATGTAAATATTCAAAAAAATACAAACTAAATTTTATAAAATAAAGTAAAATTTGAAAATATTCAATCATAATATTTGAATTTAAAAAGAAAATTTATCTAAACTGTAAAGAGTGTAAATTAGTAAAATGTCGAAAAACAAGAATGTGAAAAATTAAAAAATCTAACATACAAAAAATGAAAAGTAATAAAAAAATGAAGGTATGAATTTTGTAATTTTAAAACGCAAAAGTTAGAAAAAATAAAAGTATAGGTTTGTAATATTTATAAAATAGTAAAAAAATTATTATTATTATTAATATTATTTTTTGTATCATCCTTTTTTTATTTTTTTTTATTTTTTGTAACATTGTTTCTTTGTGTTTCTTTTTGTTGATAAATTTAATTTTTTTTGTTTTTTACTGTTTCTTCATGTTTCTTCTTGTTGCTGATAATTATAAATCCAAATTTATCATTTTAGGTGTTTGTATATATAGTTTTATATTTATTCCAAAGAAGTAACATAGATAATAATAAACCTAAATAGACAATAAAAATCAGTGTCAACAAAAACAACAATAAACAAAACGATGCAACAAAAAGCAACATGATGCAACAAAAAGCAACATGATGCAACAAAAAGCAATATGATGCAACAAAAAGCAATATGATGCAACAAAAAGCAACATGTGTGACGCAACAAAAGGAAACAAAACATAATGTATATGAGTATCACAATAAATACATAGTAATAAAAAATGAAGATATGAATTTTGTAATTTTAAAACACAATGTGAATACACAGTTCATCAAATTTAAGTCTTGTCTTCATTCTCCTTTATAAAACATTCAATCTTATCATCATCATCATCATCATCTTCTTCATGTACTTCTTTTTCATTTATACACCTGCAATGCGAATACAATCACTATGACAATTCCATAACAGATTATTACAAGGAACCATATAAAACAATCAAAAAGAAAAAAAGACTTATTTTATATGAACACCACAGTTTTAGATCAATGAAGACTTGATCAAAGAACACCACAATTTTACATTATTAAAATAAGAAGCACGGGGAATCATGACACAAAAAATATCTCTTTATACCTAAACAAGTGCAACCGGGCACCACTCAAAGATAATCAAAAGAACACCCGAGATGATGTCTTTCAAATTAAATCCATTAGCAATCTGAATTCAAAAACAAATTGTAAAATCATTTGCTCATATATCGTTCATAAAGCAGTATTGGAATAAAGAACACCAGGTCACATAGTACATAGTTTTCTGTATCTTATAGCACAAATATGATATGTATGATTTACTTGCCTCTATTTTTTTAAATGTGAGCGATTGGCTCATCCATCTCAAAGAAAGCACCAGTTGTTAAGTTACTGCCTTTCAAGGAGCTCCTGGCTTCACATAGAAACCAAAAATTAGATATGAAGGGAAGACAGTAGAAGGATAATAATTGATGAGAGTATTGCTTTTCTTGCATACCATCCTTATTACAATATGAGGGATTAAATATGAATTCTAAGCTACGAGCTACTCTTATTCTATACATCTAATACATGCCTAACTTTGGAATGTAATAAATTTTAATTTAATAAGCTAATCATCCGCACTATCTATATTCCAACGGTTCTCTTGGATTTTAGTCTATCAATCCTATCTTCCTTATCATTCATTCTATTTTCTTTGAGCATCAATGTGATTGGCAGATTGCCTGTTGGGTGCTTTATGCAGTAACATACATATAAGCATGTGAAATGATTCTGCAAGTCTTGAGATCTATTCATAAAGATCATCAAGAACGAAAAAAGACGATGTAATCAATTCATCAATATAATCATCAATAGAGTCGTATCCATGAACTAAGAGACACCTAGATGATGAAAATTCACGAAAACTTCAAAGAAAATGGCGAGGAACACTTTTCATACTAAACAGTGCAGTAACACATTTCTAAAGATCAGAAAATCAAAACAGGAATTTGACCATAGGATATGAGAAGGTCTATTTGCAAGAACAACATACTAAAATTTGGTGAAGACTTTAGAATTTAACATGTGAGTAGTGATGTCTCTCGGTACTTGGATTGAGAAAAAACAATCTATATCGATTCAGATACCTCTCTGTACCTGGAGTGGAAAAAATAGTTTATATCAAGTGTGGTTGCCACTCATTTTCCGTTGGTGTTCATCTCGGAAAGCTCTAATGGATGTTCTACGATGCTGCTTTCTATGTGATGCTACTCGAAGAAGATAAAGGAGCTGGTTTTTTCGAGAAGTGCAGGGAATGAGGAAGCGTAATAGATTGCTTTTCTAAGCTCGGGAAGGGCAATCATTCTATTGTCGTAGATCGGAAGTTATTTCCGTCAAAGCCATAGGCAGCGAACATGATTTGATCTAAGGAACTAAGACTTGGACAGATTTACCTATGTTGAAGTCATATAATTGAGTTTGTTCACAATAATTTCAACTCTGAGAAGAAGATAGGCTTTCAGTTTGAGATTTTAATTTGATGAGAACAGATCTATTATGCATTTGCGAAGAAGATGATGCAACACAAGTTGTTCGGAGATGGATACTCCACCTTCGGATTGACATCGGCCTGTGTGAAGCTTGAATTACCAGCACCCAACATCGATTTCCAGAGTCTCAGACAACTTCTATGGATTTAGAGGGTTAGGTTTTACTTTTCAGAGATGAACTATTTTGAAATAAAAAAGTTTAGCTTGAAATGGAAAAAGTTTAAATATGAAAAAAAAATGTGGCTGAAGCTATAAACAAAATGTCACATTAAAAATGGGCTCAAACGGGTAATTACCACAAAGCCATTTTTGTGTAGGTCTAGGTTGAAGTCATATAATTGAGATTTCATAAAAAAAAAATTAATACTACCTAGTTGAAATTATTGTGAACAAACAATCAATGTTGATATTATTATTTTCACATTTTTAAGAAAATGATGACATATTTATGAGACACAGCAACGGAATATAATAGCTACTCGTGTATAAAGATCTTTGAATAAGAATCTACTCTACTTGATCAACATTTAAACCAAAGTAAATCACATTAACTTCATCGTACAATAAACTTGCAAAGATAAATACTAACTTCTACTTTATACATAGACAACGATTAACCTTAATATATTAACATATACTCCGGTACTACTATGGACTTATAAGCATTAAAATATCATCATATTCTGGGCATCTAGTTCAAGCAGAAATCACAAATCCTCGGAGTGCTGCTGCAGAAAACTGAAGGCAGAGAAGTGCAACTATCCAGTATCCCATATTGGTTCAACTCCCACAAGCCATACATTCTTCTCGGTTTGTTAAAGAGCAGACCATTTGGGTCATTTTAGTTTCATCATCAGCATTCGTTTTTGCCTTCTCCTGCATTGAACCACAATAGAGAGTTTTTCAGAATCTGGAAATTTTAAATTGGAGGGAGATGGAGAAATAATAGCAATGTCTTTTTTACTTTGAGCATGGAAGTATCCACAGTGAACTTGATAGCATCAGCCGCTGCTCTTGATCTCAGATAGTACATTCCAGTTTTCAGACCCTGCATATCAGTGTAACAAGAAGAATGTGTGAGGATAAGATGATTCAGATCACCCACAGAATAATTAAATTTACCCATTACAAATACCAACTTTCAAAGTTGCAGAAAAACAACACTGGACACCATGAAATAGGTACAAATTAGCCTGGGCAAAGCAAGTTTTTTAATAATAATGCACACATTTACAAGTTAGAAGTAAAAATGTTAGTCGCAATATGGTCTATACCTTTTTCCAAGCATAAAAATGAAAGGAAGTCAGCTTTCCAAAGTTAGGTTGGTCCATATGAATGTTAAGGCTTTGGCTCTGGTCTATATAGCATCCACGGTCAGCAGCCATATCAACCAACGTCCGTTGTTTGATCTCCCAGACAGTCCTAAATATCAGGAAATTATATGATAAGAAAATGATTGGAGAACATGTATTGAAAAAAAGGGTCCAGAAAAGTACTTGTAGATTGATTTGAGCGCATTAGGAATTTCAGTGATTTTTTGTACAGATCCATCCTCGTGTATGATTTGGTTCTTAAGTGCAGGTGACCAGAGGCCCATCTCAGTTAAGTCATGAAGCAGATGTTTGTTCACTACAACAAATTCCCCACTGGAAATACAGCAATAGTTAAGTTGGATTCAGAAGCTAATAGAGCATAATACATGCTAACAGAATCCACTGGCAAAGATACCTTAGAACTCTGCGGCTGTAGATGTTGGAAGTGTATGGCTCAAAGCATTCATTGTTTCCAAGAATTTGGCTGGTTGAAGCAGTGGGCATTGGTGCTACAAGAAGGGAGTTTCTCACTCCACTCTTTTGTATCTGTGCTCGAAGATCATCCCAATCCCATCTACTTGAAGGGATCACTCCCCACATATCTGGCTGGAGGATACCCTGAACAATTGAACCAGCCAAAGTAAGCTAGTGTTGTGAAATATTTACAACAAATATATTCCACGGAATACTTGTTTTAAGCTGCATTGACAAGGTAAGAGCTTGTGCAACACTTGACACCTAAATCTACAAATTGATAGAAACCATCATATACCTTGCTGACAGGACTGCCATCATAGGTTTCATAAGGGCCTTCCTTTTGAGCCAAACTAGAAGAAGCTTTCAGGGCATGGTAGTATATTGTTTCAAATACTTCTTTGTTTAGTTGCTGAGCCTGCACATAAGATGCCATTTGAAATAATGCATCAAGAAGAAGGTATGAATCTCACAAGATGGTAATTTTACCTCCAGTGAATCGAAAGCCATTCCAAGTAATATGAACGTGTCAGCAAGACCTTGAACCCCAATTCCAATGGGTCTGTGACGCAGATTAGAATTTTTTGCAGTTTCAACAGGATAAAAGTTGACATCAATGATTTTGTTCAGGTTTGAAGTAACTAAGGCAGTGACCTGTATTAGATAAGAGGGAAGAAGTTACAACCAAACCTCAGCATTACTATAATGAGAAATATATTAATCAGTCAAACATCAAACAAGTCAGACCTCAGCCAGTTTATCAAAATCAAAGTATCGATTTGCAGAGCCTCTACTACCAGCAAGCTTAGATGGTTGTGATTCAGTTGGAATTCCCTGCAATATAAGACAGACAATTATGAAACAACATCTCAGTCAAAAAGAGTATCACTACTAATCTGCATCTCAGGCATTGAGTAATGACCTTTTCTCTGACAAATCGCGGCAAAGCAATTGAAGCCAAATTGCAGACAGCAGTTTCAGTTGGGCTTGTGTACTCAATAATCTCAGTACACAAGTTAGAAGACTTGATGGTACCTAAATTCTGCTGGTTGCTTTTACTATTGCAAGAGTCCTATTAATTATGGAAGTATCACATGGTTCAACCAAAATATTCAAAAAAAAAGATAGGATCACAACTGTAACATTAAAATATAGCAAAACTGACCTTAAATAGCATGTAGGGGGTACCAGTTTCTATCTGCGACTTTAAGATTTCAAACCAGAGACTTTGGGCTTGTACAACTTTCTTTGCCTTGCCCTGTATCAATGAAAAGTCTGAGAACCAAGTATCATGAAGATTTTACTTTGTCAGAACAAAGTGACAATCACCTTTCCCTCATATTCAGTGTAGAGTTTGCAAAATTCTTCACCCCAGCAATCAGCAAGTCCTGGGGCTTCATTTGGACAAAATAAAGACCATTCCCCATTACTCTGTACTCTCTCCATGAAAAGATCAGGAACCCAGAGAGCATAAAAAAGATCCCTTGCACGATTTTCTTCCTGAAAACCAAACACATTATCACACCATAAATTATAAACTAACAAAACTTTACTTTGAAGAAATTGAAAATCTAAGGCGACATAATACCATGACTCATATAATATTGTCCAATAAATAATGAGCAATTAATTATTTTACCAAAAGACATTCCATACACCGATAATATCTAACTTGCTATTAGATTTAGACTATTCATACCTTCCCATGATTTTTTCTTAAATCCAAGAACTCAAATATATCTGCATGCCATGGCTCAAGATACACAGCAAACGCACCTTCAAGCAGCATAAATAAAAAAACAAGTGTTAGCATATTTGATGCCACAACTTGACTTTTTAAAGTGGTACCCAATCACATACCTTTCCTTTTGCCACCTCCTTGGTCAACATATCTGGCAGTATCATTGAACACACGTAGCATTGGAACAATTCCATTTGATGTTCCATTTGTTCCACGAATGTAACTCCCAGTAGCACGAATATTATGCACAGAGACACCAATTCCACCAGCTGACTTACTAATTACAGCACACTCCTTGAGAGTGTCATATATGCCCTCAATGCTATCATCTTTCATACAGACAAGGAAGCAGCTACTCAACTGCAAGCATAACAAGAGAACTATGTGAACAATCTAAATAATACAGATAAATATAGAGAAGGATGCAAAACAACTTTGGAAGTCTGCCACTAAAAAAGGAAATTTATTAATTATAACCATCTAAAGCAATTTCATTCTTCTTATTAGGTATACTAATAGGGAAGTTGACAAACCTGAGGCCTTGGAGTTCCAGCATTAAAAAGTGTTGGAGATGCATGAGTGAACCATCTTTGAGACATCAAATGGTATGTCTTGATGGCAGATTCAATATCATCCTTGTGAATCCCAACAGAAACTCTCATTAACATGTGTTGTGGCCTCTCAACAACCTTCCCCTGAACTTTCAATAGGTATGACCTCTCAAGGGTCTTGAAACCAAAATAATCATAATCAAAGTCTCTGTCATATATGATTTCACTATCCAGACGAGAGGCATTCTGCAAGGCCCAGAAAATTAAAAGTCAATTATCTAAATGACCAAAAAACAAATGATGTACTCAGTAAAGATGAAATAAAAATGAAGTGAATACCACTATAAGGAGACATATTTATAATTTATCAAAATATTTACCTGTTTGGTAAATATTTACAGATAATTAAAGAGCTATTCAGACCAATACACTCCAACACTACATTGTGGGACATTAAAGTTCCCATGGAAGTCATATGTTATGCAACAAAGGAAAACTTCGGGCTTTACAAGCTAAAGAGCAGTAGAATTTAACATTATCTAAAATATATCAATCCGTTTTAAGTGTTTTCCTCATTTCCTTACATCAATTTCCTTGCCATATACTCCCTCCGTAACACTAATATTGTACTATAGTATTATTTTACTTTATTCTTAATAACTGTGTCACCCCCGACTATTGGAATACTAGTGGGACAAAGGTAGTATACTACCTCCATTCCTATTAAAACTTCCAAATAGGTTTGGCACAGAGTTTAAGATAGTGGGTATTGTGTGGTGGAGAGTTGTGCAGAGGAGAGAGAAATGTGTAAGAAATGTTGTGAACCACAAATTCTTTACTAAAAAGGGAAAGTGGAAGTTTTAATTGGAACGGACGAAAAAAGAAAGTTGTAAGTTTATTTAGGAACGGAGGGAGTATAATTCAACAAGTGAGTTAATAAATAGACCATTGAACATTGACCCATTGTTATGTTACACGTGCAAGGTTCCAAATACAAATTATATTTTGACCAGCCATAGATGTTGAGTAACAACTCATACCTTCATGATTATCTCATAAATATCATCTGCTATGAGAGCGGCTTTCAGTCCAGACTTCTCATTTATGTGGTAATACATGTCTTTAACCCTGTAGCCACCATCAAGATAAAGCAGTTTTTCCGTCAATAGATTTTCAATTAGCATCGAGGAGAAACAAATTTCAAACAACAACAGGAACTTACGTCTCTGAAAAAGATTTTTTTGTATTCTTGTGGAGATTAGAAACGGCAATCCTTGCTGCCAACTGCAAAACCATACATTTAATAACCAACAAATCAAACTACTTCACTTGCAGCCCCATAAAGTGAGTGAAGTTTACACGAAACATATGCCAAAATATAGTACCCAATTCACGACCAAGGACTAGGAATACAAATCAAAAACCAGTGCCATAGACAAATATCATTTCATATGAACTGGTGTATTTACTGTGAATAATCAGAGACAGATCAAATTACAACATGATAGAAAGAAATGAGAAATGCAATATCTTACATGAAGAAATTTCATCCCAAATCTAATAGACATAACATTACAGATCACTAGATCAAAAACAAGTTTAGACTTTTCATTGAACAAAATTTAGTAAAAGAATAATCTGGAAACTATCCGGGATCATTGAGAACAAAGCAGTTCAAGACATCAATCAACCAACCGCAAACAACCATATTATCACCAATACTCTTTTTCTAACACATAGAAACACAAACATTTACTATGCAAGCAATAAGGGTGGATCAAAATCTGAAACTTACAGACGCATAGTCAGGATGGTTAGCAGTCAAGGCAGCTGCGGTCTCGGCGGCCAGTTCATCTAGCTGGCTGGTGGTGACGCCCTTGTAGACTCCAGCACAGACCTTCTGGGAAACAAGCACTGGATCACAGTGCTCGGTACTGAGCCCATAGCTCAACTTCTTAAGCCTAGCGGTGATCTTGTCAAAGTGAACAGCCTCCTGACGCCCATCTCTCTTTATCACATACATTTCTTTCTTCGATGAGGAATTTTGTAAAACAGATCTTGATCGAAGTTTGATGGTCTTGAAATTGGAGGGATGTATGTAGATATATATATATATATATGGGTGTGGGCGGCGAAACTGTATTTAGGGTTTGAATTTTTTTGAACTTTCCCTCTAAGGGAGCGGGGGTGTGAATTTCCCCGCCAAAATGGAGGGAGGGGAGCGGGTAAAGTTGAAAGAAGAGTGCCGAAGAGCCTACTTCAACCGTGGGACCCAACAACTGCACCAATTACGAAGAAAATTATACGGGTATGGGTGTGAAACTTTTCAGTTTTCACAAATCACACCTTCCAATTCCGATATTCCGAATCCGGACCATCCAGATAGGCTTGGATTCGGTTCGGGCCATCCGGTCCGAGACTCGGCCCGGTTCGCTACTGTGCAGGCACGGGACCGGCCCGGTCAGGCAGTCCGGGACCGGGTGTAGACCCGAAGCAGGGGGAAGGACGGGGCGGGCTCGGTTCAGGCAAAAGGTGACCCGACCCGGCCAGGTCGGGCTCGGGTCCGGGTCCAACGGTGAAAAATCAAAAAAAAATGTTTGGGCCACAAATAGCCGTTGGGGGTGGGTTGGAAGGGGGGGTCCGGACGATTTGGGGTGGGGTGGGGTGGGGTAAAAAAATTATAAATACTCCTAATTTTAAACATTTTTCCATATCTCTTCTCCAACTCTTCCTAAATCATACTCTCTAATTATCTTCATCTTCTCAAATTCTCTTATTCTCCAATATATTACTCCCTCCGTCCCGCAATGAACTTCCCACTTTCGGATGTCCCAAAAACAAGTTTCCATTTCCTTAAATGGCAAGTTAATTTATATCAAAACAGTGTCAAACAGTGCAAAACAGTGTCAAACAGTGTCGAAACAGTGCCAAACAGTGTCGAAATAGTGTCAAAACAATAAAATTTACCTCATGGTAAATTTATTTCCTTAATATGTGTGTAGGTCAAACTGTGAAATTCATTGCGAGACGGAGGGAGTATATATCTACTTATATTATTTATCTACAAATACATATATTATAATTTATATTACTTATATTTCTTATCTACTTATATAGTTATATACTAATTATTTATTTATAAATACATATATTATATTACTTATATTTGTTATCTACTTAATCTCTACTTATTATCTACTTATTATCTACTTATATCTACTAAATACATACATATTACTACCTCCGTTCCCATTTTAACTTCCAAATGGGTTTGGCACAAAGTTTAAGATAATGGATATTGTGTGGTGGAGAGTTGTGCAGAGGAGAGAGAAATGTGTAAGAAATGTTGTAAACCACAAATTCTTTATCAAAAAGAGAAAGTGGAAGTTTTAATTGGAACGGACGAAAAAAGAAAGTTGGAAGTTTATTTAGGAACGGAAGGAGTACAATTTATATCTACTTAGTTAGAATTGTTAGAATTTTATTTCATTAGTTCGAATTGTTTTTATAAATTAATATTTGTTACATTTTAAAGATGGAAGGTGGTAGATATTCGGTTGATATGGGTAACCTCGAGCGCAACCGAACGAACGAGCTTGCGAGGAAGAAATCCTGCAGAGGTAAATCACATATCGGCTCTTCATCTCAAAGCCGAGATGATTTGGATACAGGTTACGCAAGGAGGGATGGGGATGTCATGACCGACGAACAACTAGAACAAGAATTGCACCGACATAATAGTCGGTTTTTCCAAGACCAGTCGTGGACCATTGATGAAGAAGAGCTTGAGGACGACAATGTGGAGGAAGTAATTCCGGAGAGCCATGACGGTGACGCGGAGGAGGGTGGCAGCAGCCATGATGCCGACGAGCCTGCCTCATCCCAAACAGGTATGAAAAAAGTAGATTTGAACCGATGCAAAATAATTTTGATAAGTGGAAGGACCCGTGTCACACCCCAGACCTACCCGGACACGTCAACAACCCGTCGTACACTACGAATAGTCAACAGCAGTCCGACTCATCCATACTATACAAGGCGTCTTGAATACCATTCACACATAGTACATCCATAAACAAACATAATGTAAAACATTTATTAAAGCAGCGGAAATAGTTGATACAAGTGTTCAAGCCACACTTGGCATAATAAGGCATGCAAGCCCCCAAAGTAATTATTCAGAAAATATTATCCATGAGCATTGTTTTAAATTGTTTTCCCAAAACAGAAACGGAAGAAGCACGAACCACGTCTTCTCCCTTCGATCCTCCCGAAGCAACGGGCGGTGGCAGCAACCTTCAAGTTCTACCTGAAACTGTGAGGTGGCCTACCCCGTGAAGGGGAGGTCAGTACTTGGAAACATTTGACAAGTACAATAGCAACTATACTAAGTGTAGTCGATGTTTAAATTTCTAAGACCCTCAATTCAGGGTGATATTACATTATAGGCCATAACCCTCGGTTACCCCTTTTTGCTATTTAAATCATACTTACTTTATATGAAGTCAAGTAGTCGGCCCGTGGGTCATATTCATTTAGAATTCATCATTTCCATTCCCCCGTGACCGCAAATCACGATAACCCCGTGGGGTCCCATCGAGCCCCAATTGTATAGCAAGGGCTCGACCCAACTACATTTCTATACAATCCTCTAACTCAATATAACACATCAAAATTGTATGGCAAGGACTCGGCCCAACTACGTTTCCATACCAACCATAACTTCGTGGCAAGGGCTCGACCCAACTACGTTTCCACGGAGATCACATATACATGGCAAGGGCTCGGCCCAACTACGTTTCCATGCTAATCACATTACATGGCAAGGGCTCGGCCCAACTACATTTCCATGCAATCCTAGAGTCCAACTCTACTTTATTTTCATAGTCCAATTCTCAAGCAATTCCTATGCCTAGAATCAATTCACTTGGGTAGCCTTTAGGCCTATCCCTACCACACCTTAGTGTTCATATAATTCAACCTTAAAGTATCTCTTAAGACTACTTAATGCATACCCATTTACAATCCTATCTCTTAGGATTAATTCCATCATTTATTTATATTAATCTCCCGACTAGTATCCCAACACTAGTCACATAATCTTAGAACCACCAAGTTCTTAATTCATAGCCAATTAATTCATCTCAATTGATAAATATAGTTTAATCCAAATATCAAGAATATCACTTAACCATTCATGAATTTCATACATGAAGCAAAAGTATATTTTTCTCACAATATTATCATAGTTAATTTCATCATCATACCATCACTTTCATATCACATAACCATACACAATTTATTCTAAATTTGTATATCATGCTTCACTTTTTCACATGCAATAGTATTTTCATTTAGGCATTATTATTCATTAATAATCCATGAAAATCACATTTAATAACTTAGGTAATCTTACGAAATTAACCCAACAATTATAAGCAATATAGTCAGCCATCCTCACCTCGTGATGTGCTACAATAGTTGCCTTTGTTAAGCCCCTCGATCAATCCCCGTTCTAGGCCGATTGAAAGTGGAAAGTTGGACGACTGGGCAAAAGCCGAGCGGCTTTCACGAAAGTCGGGCTGCTTTCGTAGTCTGCAACTACGAATAGCTCCCTATATGTGGTGGTTTCCGGCGATTTCGACTCCTATCGATTCACCAACACTTCTAAGTTAATTAACACCACTATATAACAATTTTCTACACTTTTAAACGTGTAGAACTCGAGGTTTAATCCACCATATGATTTCTTAAAAATCATACACAATAAAACTAGTTAAAAGAACCATATGTGTTCTTACCTCAAGGCTTAGTTTTTTTCCTCTATGGATTATCCTCCTTGTTGCTCCCTCCAACTGCAGATATGTTGAGAGACTTTCCTGGAGTCTTTCTGCTCTTGGGTTGTTCGGATGGTGCAAGAGAGGTGGAAGGCAACTCTACTCAATCAAGCATCAAAATAATGCATGAGTAGGGCCTTAGGAGGTGTGATGGTACCTTTGGCCATCCCTCATTAATTCACTCCGCACACACCCTCAATTCATGTCCCTTCCAGCTTTCCTTTAGTCAACTAGGGCACATGAAGACGTGGGGTGGCCCCCACTTATGTGGGAGGTCATCCCATTATGTCCCGGTGTGTACAATCGGCCCCGAAAGTTGTATTTTTCGGACGATTTAAGTCGTATTTTATTTTATCGGGCCGGATAAAATATATCACGCGTTCCCAATAATTATGGGTCTTTAGAATAGATGTACATTCCCCAACATTAATTTAGGAGTCTCCGAAACTCATTTCGGGCTGTTATTCGCTAAATCACCAATACCGGTAATTGGGCCCGTTTGACCAACCGGTCAACTCCATGCCTTTCTTATGGCCCAACTAAAATATTCACCTCCATATAGATGTCATCCAGATCAAGATGAATATAATACGTGGTTCGGGAATTATCGGGCGGCTCCCCGGTCCCGGCGTGGGCCCCACATGCAATTTACTATTCACGTAAAAGAAATAATAAAAATTTACAATTACGTAAATTCATAAATCATCCTTCAAGGTTTATTACATAATTTACTAAAAGTAAATATGCTTGGGGACGGTGCTACAAGTTCACACCCCCTAAACGGGAATTTCGTCCCCGAAATTCACAACGATTATTCAAACAGAAATGCATATTGTTCCTTCATCTTCCCGTATCTTTAACCATTGGAACTTTCTTGCTTCTTAGCTTCTTTACTTGCCTATCAAGTATCCTTACCGGTTGCACGACGTAGTTCAAGTCTTCCCGTATTTCCACAGGTGGTTTTTCTAGTACATGAGATGGATCCGGAATATACTTCTTAAGCATAGACACATGGAATACATTATGTATTTTCTCCAATTCTGGAGTCAACTGTAATCGGTATGCTACGGCCCCAATTCTCTCAAGAATTACAAATGGCCCCATGTAGCGTGGGTTAAGTTTCCCTCGGCTCTGAAATTGGACGATTCCTTTCCAAGGTGAAACTTTCAAAAATACCTCATCTCCAACCTTAAACTCTAAGGCTCTTCGGCGCTTATCGGCATAGCTCTTCTGTCTATCCTGTGCCGCGTTGTCTCTCCCGAATCATCTTCACCTTTGACTTTGTGATCTCC